GCCTTCTTTATGGTCCAACTCTCAGATGTGTACCTGACTACTTGAAAAATCATAGCTTTGACTATAAAGAATGTTTGTCAGCAAAGTGATGTCTCTGCTTTTTAATACACTGTCTAGGTTTGTCATAGCTTTCCTTCCAAGGAGCAGGCATCTTTTGATTTCATGGCTGTAGTCACCATCTGCAGTGATTTTGGAGTCCAAAAAAATAAACCCTGTCACCATTTCCACTTTTCCCCCATCTATTTGCCATGAAGTGTTAGGACCAGATGCCATGATCTTAGTTTTTTGACTGTTGAGTTTAAGCAAACTTTTTCACTCTACTCTTTCACCCTCATCAAGAGGCTCTTTAGTTCTTTACTTTTTGCCATTAGAGTGGTATCATCTGCATATCTGAGGTTATTGATATTTCTCCCAGCAATCTTGATTCCAGCTTGTGCTTCATCCAGCCCAGCATTTCGCATGATGTACTCTGCATAGAAGTTAAATAAGCAGTCTGTTGTTCCATGTCCAGTTCTAACTGTTGCTTCTTGACCTGCATACAGTTTTCTTAGGAGACAGGTAAGTACTGCCATCTCTTTAAGAATTTTCCACAGTTTGTTGTGATCCACACAAAGTCTTTAGTATAGTCAATGAAGCAGAAGTAGATGTTTTTCTGGAATTCCCTTTCTTTCCCTGTGATCCAGTGAATGTTGGATATTTGATCTCTGGTTCCTCGGCCTCTTCTAAACCCAGCTTGCACATCCACAAGCTCTTGGTTCACATACTGTTGGAGCCTGGCTTGAAGGGTTTTGAGCATTACCTTGCTACCATGTGAAATGAGTGCAATTGCATGGTAGTTTGAACATTCTTTGACATCTGCTTCTTTGGGATTGGAGTGAAAACTGACCTTTTCCAGTCCTGTGGCACTGCTAAGTTTTCCAAATTTGCTGGCATATTGAATGTAGCACTTTAACAGCATCATCTTTTAGGATTTGAAATAACTCAGCTAGAATTCCATCACCTCCTGTAGCTTTTTGGTAGTAATGCTTCCTAAGGCCCACTTCACTTTACACTCCAGGAGGTCTGGCTGTAGGTGAGTAACCACACTGTTGTGCTTATCCAGGTTGTTAGAACCTTTTTTGCGTAGTTCTTCTGTGCATTCCTGCCACCTCTTCTTAATCTCTTCTGCCTCTGTTAGGTCCATACCATTTCTGTCCTTTATTGTGCCCATCCTTCTCTGAAATGGTCCCTTGGTATCTCTAATTTTCTTGAAGGTATCTGTAGTCTTTCTCATTCTATTGTTTTCCTCTATTTCTTTGCATTGTTCACTTAAGAAGGCTTTCTTATCTCTCCTTGCTATTCTCTGGAACTCCACATTCAGCTGGGTGTATCTTTCCATTTCTCCTTTGCCTTTTGCTTCTCTTTTTTTCTCAGCTATTAGTAAAGCCTCCTTAGACAACCACTTTGCCTTCTAAATTCATTTTCATATTCTTTCCCATTATGATTTATCACAGGATATTGAATACAGTTTCCTGTGCTCTTCTTTAGGACCATGTTGTTTATCCATTCTGTATTTAATAGTTTACATCTGCTAATCCCAAACTCTCAGTTTATCCCTCCCCAAACCCCAGATCCTTGGCACCCACCAGTTTATTGTCTGTCTGTATGCTTCATAGATAAGTTCATTTGTGTCATATTTTAAATTCCACGTATAAGTGATATCATGTATTTGTCTCTGTCTGACTTACTTCACTTAATATGATAATCTCTAGGTCCATCCATGTTGCTGCAATGGCATTATTTCGCTCTTTTTATGTCTGAGTAGCAGTCCATTGTATATACATACCACATCTTCTTTACCCATTCATCTGTCAATGGACATTTCGGTTGTTTAATTAATCCTTACAATATCCTCAAGACATAAATATTCCTCCCATTTTACAGATGAATGATGGGAAAATCAAACAGGTTTAGTCATTTTACAAGTCCTTTCAGGTGGAATTCAAATGTTGAGACACTAGGTGTTGGGTCCAAATCCTTCTCTCCTCAGGAAGGAACTGGGATTTTCATGTTTCCCCCGATAGCATGTCATTCATTTGGCAGTGGGGCTTATGGCAAGACTGTTTCTCAGCCTTTCCTACGTATTTTGTTGTGTACATTTTCTTGTTTGCCTAATATGGAGGAGTTGCTCAGCTAGTTTTCTAGATGTCTTTTTTCAAAATTTTTATTGTCTGTAGCTGCTTTGCAATGTTGTGTTTCTGCTCGTGAATCAGGTATACGTATACATATATCCCTTTTAGATTTCCTTCCCATTTAGGTTGCGGCCGAGCAGTGAGCAGAGTTCTCTGTGGTGTAGAGCAGGTTCTCATTAGTTACCTGTTTTATACACGCTAGTGTCTTTATGTCAGTCCCGATCTCCCAGTTCATCCCACCCTCCTTCTGCCTTGGTATCCTTACGTTTGTTCTCTACATCTTCGTCACTGTTTCTGCTGGGCAGATACGTTCGTGTCTACCATGTTTCTAGATTCCTCATATAAGCACTAATAAATGATATTTGTTTTTCTCTAACTTCCTTCACTGTGTATGACAGTCTAGGTCTATCCAGGTTCTCCGCAAACTGCAGTTTCTTTTTGTGACGAATACCCCATTGTGTCTGTGTGCAGCGTCTCATTTACCCCTTCCTCTGTTGATGGACATCTTGGTTGCTTCCATGTCCTGGCTATTGTAAAGTGTACTGCGGTGCATATTGGGGTGCACGTATCTTGAATTATGGTTTTCTCTGGGTATATGCCCATAGTGGGATTGCTGGGTCATACGCTAGTTCTAGTTTTAGTTTTTTGAGAACAATTCCATACTGTTCTCCATAGTGGGTGTACCAGTTTACCTTCCCACTAACAGTGTATGAGTGTTCCCTTTTCTTCACACTCTCTACAGCATTTATTGTTTGTAGATTTTTGATAATGGCTGTTCAGAGTGGTGTGAGCTGATACCTCATTGTAGTTTTGATTTGAATTTCTGTAATAATAAGTGATGTTGAACATCTTTTCATGTGTTTATTGGCCACTAGATTTCTTTCAGAGGGATTTTCTCTGTAGCTATAGATTCAGTGTGTTTATGGGGGGAGATGAGTTTAGGGGCCTGTTGTGTCACCATTTTGATCTAGAAATCATCGAATCTGTGGTTTTATAGATTTTACCAAATTTGGAAAGTTTTGGCCATTACTATTTCAAACATTGTTTTTTATCGCTTTCTTGGCTTCAATTATAGCTTAGAAATTAAAATGCTCAATAGTTTATACATGCCAATATAATTGTTCAAAAGCAGGAAGAAAATCAGTATTATACAATTCCCTGCAAGCAATACCATGCAATACAGCAAACACAAAATAGGATAATCACGTGGCTAATAAGGCAGTTGGAGGAAATGGAGGGGAAAAATCCAAGAGAGAATGTAAGAAGTTATAGTTGGGACCATATCTTAGTTGTCGTTATATGACTCAGAGAAAATATCAGGGAAAACAGGCAAATGTAAACACATTTATTGAGCACCTTCTATAGGCCAGGTATGGTGTGGTTCCATTTTGATAACCTTACTGCAAAGCAGTCAGAAAGTTTAGGTAAATTGCCCAACATATGGTATACAATGTTTTTCATATACCACATCTTAATATTAGCCAAATAAATGAATGTGTATTCAAATGAAAGTTATAAATTTTCTTTGCTGTGCTTCTAATATTTCCTAGAAAAATGGTAAACTGAGAACTATGGGCTAGGGAAAGAACTGTATTAGTTGGTGTGCGGTGATGGTGGTAGCAACACCAGTGATGGCAGTAACATCCTGTGAGTTGGCCACAGTTTTGATTTTCATATATTAACTCATTTAGTCCTGATAACACTATGAGGTAAGTAGTCTTTATTTCTCATTTTACAGATGAGGAAACTGAGGTGCAGAGTTTATTCAAAATAGTTTATTCAGAGTCATCCCATTGGTGCATAGTAAGGCCAGGATCTGAACTTTGAGAACGGAGCTCCATCTAGAGACTTGCTGCCTTTCTTCACTGTGGTTCACCTACTTTTACCTTTGGGCTCAGGCTAAGATCAAGATTTCCCTAATTCCCCTTTATGGCCTTACAGCCACTTTGACAAGTACTGCTTTCCAAAGCCAAAGGAAAATATTGACACACTTCCCTACCTTTTCTATTGCATAAAAGGCAAATTGAAGTCATGGAGTAAGGGACAAATATCTTCTGCTTTCAGTTGGCAAGGGAAGTGAACATATAAGTCAGTCTTGCTATTTCTCAGATTACTATCTCAGCACATGAAGCAGCAAAATACCCAGAATTTATAGAGAATTTATTTGATTTATAAATCAGATGGGTCAAGGGCATGAAAAGAAAATTCACAAAAGAAAACAAAGAGGCCAGTACCTTTATTTCATAATCAAAGTTGGCAAGATTTGTTTTTCTGTTTTCCTCAAGATTGGAAAACAGATTGATGTAGCTGAAACTGGAGAGGGACAGTCAGGATGTGAGAGGGGTGTGAGACAGTGAAAAGGTAGTGGGATTGATGGATTATAGATTCTGGTAAAGCTGAAGTCATGTGGTGTGAGAAGGAAAAAATGGGAAGGACAGGAGGCAGTGATCAGAATACGGAGTTTTATAACTGAGAATGTGAAGAATTTGAGTTTATTGATAATGATAAGGGCTAGAGAAACATAATTTGATAAAAATACGTGCCATATTATGTAGTACTTCCCAGGTGGCACTACTGGTAAAGACCCCGCCTGCCAATGCAGGAGACTTAAGAGATGTGGCTTTGATGCCTGGGTCGGGAAGATCCCTTGGAGGAAGGCATGGCAACCCACTCCAGTATTCTTGCCTGGAGAATCCCATGGACAGAGGAGCTTGGCGGCCTACAGTCCATGGGGTAGCAAAGAGTCAGACATAACTGAAGTGATCTAGCATGCACATGTGTATACAACTTAGAATTTCCTAGTAGCCAGATTAAAAAAAGCAGATAAAATCAGTTTTAATGTATTTTATTTATTTAACCCAGTATACCCCAAAGAGTAACATTTCAACATGTAATCAAGATTGAGGTATCTTACATTCTTTTACATAGTAAATTTCTAAAATCTAATGTATATTTTACAACATACATATCTCAATTTAGACCAGTCACATTTCAAATGCTCAGCAGCCACAAAGACTAATGGCTATTATATATTGGATGGCACAGGTCTAGAATATGACCATGGGAATAAGTGGTATGATAGACCAAGGTGTTGAAAGGGTCACCTATGTGAATACTGGAATCACTAAGAATGTTTTTTAGTCACTAAAAAAGAACATATTAGACCTATATGAAATGAGCTGGAAAGATCTCCAAGATATACAGTGAAGGGAAAATTAATTTCCAATATAATATGTATGGATAATACCATTTACTAAAAAATATGTAAATTACAAAAGACGACTATAAGGAAAGAGACTGCTAACTTAGTAGTTACCTCTGGAGAACAGAGTAGAAATAGGGTGGAGTGGGTGTGAAAGGGGACTTTCATGTCTCACTTTTTATTCTTCTGGATCATTTGAATATCTCACAATGAGGTTTTCATGTACTTGTTGCTTATTAATTTTTAAGAGTTAATAGTAATACCATTGATCTAGTTACCTACTTGACTTGGTTCCCTCTCTCCCTCCTTTCACCTGCCTTTTCCTGTTTCAGGCATCATGAATTAGAATTCTGAGAATAGAGCTGAATGACTTACTACCGTTTTTTTTTAATTAGCAGGAGTGTATGTGTTCTAGATTGTTATATTTGATGCTATAAAGTGCCTTGTTAAGATTTCCATTTCTGCTCTAGGTTGCTTGGGGCCTCAGATGACCAAATCCTTAAATCTCCAGATGAACATGATTAAGATAGAGAATAAGCTGTGAGATTCCATTGCATGTCTTGTTGTTTTCATCAGTGTTCATTTTTGGCACTAGGTTTCCTTAATTAATGTGTAGCTTAGGAGTGCTGTAGCAGACTTAGAAGCATGCTGTGACCTCCTTCTTTAGATTAATTTTCTTGAGGGCAAGGACTGAATCTTTGTCTGGTACCTGTATTAATTAATAGCAAATAGGTACTCAATAAATGTTCTTTCTTTCAAAAATATTTATTTGGCTGTGCTGGGGCTTAGTTGCAGCATATAGGATCTTTAATCTTCATTGGGGCAAGTGGGATCTCTAGTTATGGCATGTGAACTATTTAAGTTCCAGCATGTGGGATCTAGTTCCCTGACCAGGGATCAAACCCAGGCTCTTTGCACTGGGAGCATGGAGTCTTAAAAGTCCCTAGACCATCCCGGAAGTCCCAATAAATGTTCTTTAAATAGCATAGTGAAGATAATTTGTTAATGATTAAGAGCTACTAAGTATACTGAATTAGAGTTTAGAGGAATGGGTTGTTATGTTATTTCTATATTGATTTCTTGTGAACTTTCAACTTTCCCTTCAAAATTTAGGAAAATGTCACATTTCCCCATAGCTTTCCCTCTGTACAAGTATTTAACAGCTACATCCTCAGTATGCTCACAGAATTACATGTATACCTCTCAAACCCTCTCATGCTGTGTGTTTACATTTCTAATTGTGAGTTTCTTCTGGGTAAGGACAATTTCTTATTAAAAGTAACACAAGGTCTGAGACCTAGCAGGTGCTCAATAAATGTTTATGAATGATAAATATATAAATGTATAGATTAGACCTTGGGGCTTCAAGCCCATTTCCACATATAATAACGAAAGAGAGACAAAACCTACATTTATTTACTGAATATTTATTGAACACCTGCTGTATACTGGGCAAAAGGAAAAGAGACAATCTGTCTATCCAGAACTATTTTTTAACTCTTTTAGCAATGCCTGAGTCCTTATAAAAAAGTTCATTCAGCTGATTTAGTGTCCATTCATTCTTTGGTTAATCTTCATGTACGGTTTTCTCAAGTGTACTTTCAAATATTGCATAGTGCTGCAGACCATGAAATATTCCAAAGGTTGTCTGAAGGATGAGAGGGATCACCATTGCTTTTATCTCTGAATGACAAAGCAGTAGCGAATAAAGTAAAACCCTTCCTTTTGGTGGCAGGGGAACAGTATGATACCTAAAAAGGAAAAAGAGTTAAGGGCTTTGTCTGGATGTAAATTCTATGGAACATTTGTTGATTTCTCCTAAACTGATCATTTCTGTTCTAGATTTTCCATGTAGAAAGCAAAAAGGGTTAAAATTAGCTATTTGAAATATGAAACCATATTTTAATTAAAATGTGTTACTGGCAGCTAAAGAATAAGGAGAATTTATTAACATTAAAAAAAAAGGAAGTAAGGAAGTAGGGAAGGGAGGAGGAGATGGAAGAGAAGGCACAAGAAAATGGACTTACTTGAATGCCAGGCGTCCATTCTGAGAAAAAGCCAAAGCAGCGGGATATAGAACGCCACATGCTATGCCAATCAGCGAGCTTCTAAGAACACAATCTTCCTGGCTTATGTTACCTGGAAATCAAAAGTAAGTCTGGCTATTAAGAGTCTTGGGTCCTTATATTGTACTTATTTGCATTGTCCTCAACCACAGTGAAATAGTTGAAAGAATGCTAGAAATTCAGTGTATGGCACAATATACTGAATGTATTAAATTTTTTTAATGTTTTTATTACACTTTATATAAGGATAAGTTTACCTCTTATACAGCTGGTGCAGAAGCAATTTCATAATGAAGAATATTAAACTAGCAGACCAGATACCTAGATTCCAGATTAGTACATTTATATTGTCTATATGTCAGTCATGTGCTAGGGATACAGTGTAACACAAGAGACCCAACCACTGATCTTCAGGTCAAGTCTACTAAGAAAGAAATGCATTAGACAAATATTTAAACACATATCTTAAACGTGCACATGCTTTGAAGGTAAAATGAATAGAGAATGTATGGAGAAACTTAACCTAACCTGAGGGAATCAGAGAATTCCCTGGAGATGAGGCATTTAAGCAGGGAGCTGATGAACAGGGATCACGGGTTCCATCAATTACTAGCTGTGACACTTCAAGCACAGGGAGGAAGTAGGAAGTAACATAATATACCAGGAAGCCCATAATATACCAGATCCTGTGCCAGGCATTCAGCGTACACTATCCTCATTTTTAGAACAATCCTGAGGTAAGTACTGTTAGTCCTAATTCATAGATATAAAACAACTGAGTCTCTTAAAACAAGCAAGTCTCTTAAATGACTTGCCCAGAGTCACAAAACTTAAGTGAAATATGTAGTATACCAAAGCCTGCTTTTTTTCTAGTATACTATGTTGCTTCTTAGTGTACCTGAACATGTCCCAGCTTAGTATCTTACTTGTTAAAAAAAAAACCACAATACTATTTTCCCTGTCTGATTAGGAAGACTGTTGTGGGGTTTAAACAGGACAATGAAGGTACTTTTGTAAAGTAATATACACATGCAATGGATTATTATCAGCAGTAGCAACAGTATATATTAATGAGTACTTTTACTTAGATATAAACACATGATATGCTAATGAGTTTAAAATTACCTGAATACAAAGCATCTGTTACAAGAAGCTTGTAAGAAACTATGGTAGACAAAAATGGAAGTGCAGTCAATGATGCATATGTCTTCAAAACATCATATGTGACCTTGAAGCGATGTCTGAAAATGAAATTTGTCAACATTCCAGAGAAAGCAGCTGTTGTTCCAAAAGTCAGTGTTCCATATATATTTAAAGTCCTAATTGGAAAAACAGAGTGAAAGTTAAGTTCAACATAATACTCTTCTAACAGATATATCCTTTCTTGTGTAGTCATTTGTTATTACATATTTATGCAACATCACATTTTTCTTAAGCATTTACTCTGTGAAAGGTATTTTCTTTATGCTAAGGATGAAGCAGTGAATAAAGCCGGGAAAAAAGAAAAAAATTCCACCCCTCATGGAAATTGCATTCTAATGAGAGGATGATATAATTCTCTTTCTGAGACTAGAGTGGTTCTAAGATGGAGCTCTTTTAAAGAGAAAATAAATTTTGGCCAAAAATAAGCATGAGTTTGTTCCAATGTAGCCAAATTTTATGAGCTAGCTAAATCCAAGAATACTGTTCTTTCTACTGTAAGAATTAATTTGCTTAAGGTCATCAGAAAAAAGTTGTTGACATTTGGTTAGGCCTTCTAGAAAATAACTATTTCTTTTTTTTTTTTTTTTAGAAAATAACTATTTCTTAAGTAGTAGAGATACATTTAAAGTATTTCCAAAACTTCAAAGAAATTTGAAAGATCTAGTTTTGCTTATTCTGACTCATACCTAAATCCAGAAATGTTGAACAATTCAGATTAACATCAACTGATTTTATTTTTGAGCTCTATTAATCTAAAAGTCAGAATGGTAATGTGAAACTATATGTACATCATGGAATCCTGTATTCCTTTTTGCTGAGCTCAGCAGTGTGGCTGAGGTAAGAAATTCTAAACTGAATTTAATTATAATTGATAATCAATTAATATAAGTAGTCCTCAAAATGGTGTTCTCTTGATTACCTTTAATTACAATTGCTTATTGCACAGATAACATTTCAACAATTTTAGAAATAAAGGAATTTCAAGAAACAAAACAAATTATCCAGTTTCAGTATTCTAAAAAACCTCTATTTTCATCTCCTCATGTTTCCCTCCAGTTCTTTTTAAAAAAAAAAGCTTTCTTCGTAACCAACTCAATACAGTTAATAGGCTCTTAGATACCTAGAAGCCATGGCAATACTTAAGATATACAAATAAATTTATTGACTATCAGTCTGGGTGTGTCTCTTACTTTTCTTTTCTAAGGCATTCAATTTTTTTTTCTATGATTTCAATGACCACTGGTTTTCTGAGTTTTGCATCTCCTGGAGAAGGCCTGGACTGACCATGTGTGTATGTTGGTATCTTGATGTCCTGGAAAACACAAAATTCAGAACCACAATAGCTATGATGTTAATATTAAATCTTATAAATTCTACAGATTCAGGTTAAAAAACATTTAGACCCTAGTAAAGTATCAAGCACTGTCATCTGCTTTCACATCCTGTGTTAATGATTCGTTCATTGTTTAGTGGGCTCTTATCTGTTAGACAATGGCTTTTTGATTCACGTAATAACTTTGAGAAATTGGTAGGAAAATGGTCATCTCTACTTTCATGAGTGAGATAAAAAAGGTTCAGAGAGGTTGACTTGGCTTAGGACTTGATGTGGAAGGATTAAGTTACTCAGGTATGTTTGTTTTCCTTACCGTTTTCCCTGAAGGTAGCCAGGCCCGTTGTAGTTCTTCACACTGTAACTTTTTCAGAGCTGAAAGTAAACAGCAGCTACCTGTTGACAACTATTTTTATCCTCTGTCTCATGAAAGCCCAAGTTTTGGAGATTATGCTGGGTTTGCTGGAGAGGTAGAAGCAGGAATTTCCTTGGAGACCAGCGAGAGAGAACATCAGGAGGAGGGACACCTTCCGGACTAGGAAGAGGCAGTGGATGGCTGTCTTGGATTATGTAAGTTATATATCTAGCTTGTGAGGAGCACCTGGGGTGGAAGTAGGGCCTTTGCTGGAAACTGCTCTATGGTAATATCAGGAGGCCTGGTCCTCAGGCACTAGAAAGTTCCTGTCTCCCAAGTGTGATACTTAAATAGACAGTTGCTAATATCGAGGGACCATGAGGTTTGCCCAGTAGCATCTTAACAGAAGGTGAAAGTTGCTCAGTCATGTTTGACTCTCTGCGACCCCATGAACTATGCAGTCCATGGAATTCTCCAGGCAAGAATACTGGAGTGGGTTGCCATGCCCTCCTCCAGGGGATCTTCCCAACTCAGGGATCGAACCCAGGTCTCTTGCATTGCAGGGGGATTCTTTACTGTCTGAGCCACCGGAGAAGCCCAAGAATACTGGAGTGGGTAGCCTGTCCCTTCTCCAGCAGACCTTCCAAACCCAGGAATCGAACCGGGGTCTCCTGCACTGCAGGCAGCTTCTTTACCAACTGAGCTATCAGGGAAGCCATCTTAACAGGAACCAGTGGTTAAATACAAAACAAAACTAGGCTTTCAGAAAGGATCCTTTCTAAATGTTTTGCTCTGGGTAAGACTCTCAGATTTTTGTGAAAAGTCTTAATAGTATTTGTTACATCATTTGGCATATTGGCATTATGGGATTCCAGATTAGCTAGTGAATAGATTAAAAAAATCTAGTCCTTCACAATTTATATGAATCCCTATGTTAACATTATTTGTGGTCAAGGGCAGACTCATAAGTCTCAACTTTCAGGAGTCCTGGGCAAGAGAATCAGAGTGGATTAAACATAAAGGACATAGAAGAGACTTAGTAAGATTTTAAGCCTTTCGTGTGCACAAGAATCACATGAGCAGTGTACTTGAAATGCAGGCTCTTGAGCTCTCTATTGAAATATTTAGGTTCAGCAGGAGTAAAGTCTAGAAATCTGCACCAGTGATTCTGATGCTGGTAGTCAAATGGACACATGTTGAACATAACTGTAATACTCATTTCCTGAATAGTGATATGTACCAACCCTAAACTAACTAATAAAAGGTCGATTCAAACATTGTATCAACATCCTGAGGGCGACTGGATGAGATGGTTGGATGGCACCACTGGATTCAATGGACATGAACTTGGGCAAACTGGGAGATGGTGAGGGACAGGGAGGCCTGGCGTGCTGCAATCCATGGGGTCACAAAGAGTCTGACATGACTTGACCACTGAACGACAACAATCAACATCGTGAAGGTGGGGGCTCCCTTGAATATTTGTATGGTATTAAACAAAGAGTAATAGTGGACCAGTTTCTTTCCCTATCAGTGAAGAACTATAATCAAGCCAGTTCTTTTTCTTTAAAATATCTGGGAAGACAGGAAAAAAAAAAGTAAAATATTTTATAAATTCCAATTTCTCACAAACTAGATGTAATCTTTTGCCTCTCTCTGACATCTAAATGGCAAATGGAAGAAACAAGATAGCAATATAGAAGGGCGATTCTATAATCCATCTAATGTACATGAAGGCAGATGTCAGTAACATGATAATTAACCAGAAACTTGAGAAAACTTTTTGTTTCCCTGTCATCCAATTCACTGAAGTCCGTTATTACAAAGAAAACTTGCGGGCAATGCCGTGTACCAACTTACTATCTCGTCTACACCTTAGTATATAGTAAAGACAAACATCCAGAATTATCATCCTAAAATAGGACAGCAAATGTTTACTGCATACCTAATTTTCCTAAAGCACTGTTAATAAAAGCAGAGAAATATACTGATAACTTCCTGACAATTTTTACATGTACTGAAATGTACAGATTTTGCTCTAACTCACATTTCATCCAAAAAGTAACCAGTTCAAGGCCACTCAACTGGTCACCACGATTCAATTACACCAGTAATACTGCATCGGGCAGGTTTATAACTTTCAAAGTATCTTATGGTTTTGTAGTGCTTTTAAGTATATTAAAAGCTTGACTTTTAATGTCTATTAAAAGCTTGCTTCCCTGATAGCACTTGACTTTGAGAATTTTATTCATCAGTCATTCATCATTTACTCAAACATTCACCTGGTATTTGAAAGTCCCCCAGTTAAGCAAGATGTAGTCTTGTCCTCAGAACCTAGAACCAGGGCAGAAGTCAGGATAGAATGGCAGGGGGTTTAAAGTACAAAGGCCCCGAGGCAAGAGAAAACAGGCTCCATTATTCAGGACTAAAGTTTAGGTCTACCTACTTTATCCCCACCTCTTTTCACAGCAACTGGGGATGTAAACATGCCTTGCATGGAGATGGGAACTGCCCTGATTATAAACTTTCAGATCCCTTTTGCGCGCATCACTTCAGAAGAGTGCGCCAGCACTTGAGGTAGCAGAGCTCACGGGCCTCAGCACCCTGGGTTTCCGCCTACCTTAGGCACTTCCGCAGCTCCCACCGGCACCAGACCGGCAACCCGCACGTCGTCTCCGGCCTCACGCCCAAGCGCCGCCATCTTGGCGACTCACGTGATTGGCGGTGGGCGGGGACGCAGGGCTCTCGGGTCAGGAAGGGTCGCGGGCTCACGCCCAGCGCCCCAGCCCAGTCAAAAGCCGCGCCCTCCGTCCTGGCTGTGATTGGGCGCGGTGTCTGGAGGCGCTCATTGGCCTCAGGGAGGGCTGGACGCCCGTGGGCCCGCCCCCCGCCGGGCCCTCATCCCCGGCTTCTGCTATTTGTGAGCCTGGCTCCCTGGTTCTCGCATCCCGAGGGAAAAGTGGGCTGGTCCTCGCGCACGGATGTGGCTGCGCGTGTTTCTCCTCAGGGCACCTCCGTTGGCTGTGGCCGAGCTGCCCGCCCCCTTCACTTTTTCAGGGTGCTCTCCCCTCTGGCCCAGCCTGGGTGTTAAGGCGCCAGCTTCTCGGGCACTTCCTCCCTAGAGCCCCCGACCGGCCGCCGGAGCAGCCCCGAGTAGCCTCCTCCCCTCACAGCCGTCAGCGTGTTCTCTTCAGTCTCTAGTCCCCTCACATGCCATCCGTTCACCCCGCTTGGGAAGGGGCCCGAGAGAAATTTGCCCCTCACTCCCCCAGAAGACCCCCCCCCTTGCCAGCCGATGTTTCGGGGTGGGGGTGAGGGGGGCGCTGCGCGAAGGCCCGGCAATTCCTCCTAGACCAGCAACCCCCGACCCTCCCGGCTCCGCGTCTTAGAGAAGCCAGGCTCGCGAGTTATATAATTTCTAGTGCTGCTGTTTCTCCTGCCTGAGGAAACACTCCATCGCGTGGAGGGGTGCGGGACGTTTCTGTGCTCATCTTTATAAGAACGGGGTGTGGGCAGAGGGGTGGCCAGCGGTAGCAGAGGGATTTCTGGTCTTTTCTGCGAAAGGAAGGTGGGTAGTTTGGAGAGAGACCGAGAGAAAAAAGGTGGATGTGGAAGCCACGCAGCCGAACTCTCTCCAATTTAGGAAACCGCGAACCGTTTGCCCAGCTTATGCTCACATGCCTAATACTACTCCAGCGTCTGAGAAAACACCTTTGGGGGAAGGTCTGACTTGTCTCGAGCAGTCTCAGTGTTTTTCCTCGCCGGATAGGGAGCTGTCTGGATGCGAAGAGATGGCATGATTTGACTGACTCCAGTGTGAAGAAATCTTCGCCAACTCATCCTGCATCAAGTGCCCATTGAGTAGCTCTGTCACTTTAATGTCTCCATGCCAAGGGATTGCTTTCCTTCTTTTCAATCCTCTCTGTTAATACACGGGAGGATCAGAATCAGAGGGGCATTAAGGATCAAGCCTGAGGGGCTTGGAGAGCACAGAAGAAAAAAAAAAAATGAAAGTGACAGCAAGCTGGATCCTGTCTCACTGAGGGGGTGAGATCCGGAACTTCAGGTCCAGTAAATAGAAAAGGGCCTTTCAGTCTGGGTTCTGCCCCCAGAAAACTGTCCAAACTCACCCCACGTTTTTTAGAGACCATTAGAGAGGTTTTAAAAATTATTTTTGGGGAGGTAAGGGTTTTAAATTTTTCTCTAAAGAATTTGAGGGTCTTTATCACCAACCAGTTCATCTTTGATCATGTGTTGAGTAATGAGACAGCTGTGTAAATTTTTTTTGTGCCTTAATTGAGTTGGTCATTGAACTCCAAAGATTGCTGCTTGAGGAGGAGTTTTAATAATGTTTTCTATGCTTACAATAATTTTCTTTTTAAACAGAGTAACTATTTTGGAAGCATTGAAAAACTTGAAAAACTCAAAAGCTATTTTTCTTTAAACTCCTTGGGCACTGTCAAAGTTTGTGGGAAAAAATACATCATTTTTTCTTTATTTGAAAGAGAAGACAGCCTGGATTTCAAACAGCCAAGGGGTTTGCAACAGTTACCTGGCCCTTGGCCTCCATCCAGCTGGATCAAGTTGAGACCTGAAAAGAGTTCTTGAATCCTGTGGCACTGGAAAGACCCAAGAATGCCAGTCAAGAAGAAAGGTGGGCTATGAGGTTTCCTGTATATGTTTTTCCTTTTTCTTGGTTCTGGTATTTGCAGTTTAAATTATATTCCATTTGAGAGTAAAGTTTTGTTTGGGCTGTAGTTCTTATAATAATGTCTTTTCTGTGGTGCATCATTCAGTGAGACTGTTTTGCTGAAAGAGTGAAGCAGGGCTGCCCTATTTAATTATAGACATTTGTGGTTTCCAGATCAGGTGGTCTAAATCACCATTTTGTAATCAGCGTAAATTTGATACCATAGGTTTGGGACTTTCTTTCCCTTGTTTTCTTAGCTTGTTAAAGATAACTTTTACATGGTCTTTAAAAAAGAAACATGCACAGTGCAGCTCTTCTTTATGGCTTAAATATTTATCAAGTGAATTACATAGTTGTAAAAGATAACAAAGTTGCTTGCAGTGTACACAATTGTAGGTTATCTTTTGATTAAGAATAATTTTATGTTTGGATTTACTCTGGTGTTAAGTCTTCCCTTTTGTGGCAAAGCACAACTTTGATAACTGCTGTGTATGCATTATCCAATAACAGTACTGGCAAATTCCCCAAATGAGGTAAACACTGGACTCCTCCCCCACCAGTTGATGAAGATCTGGTGAGTTGCTGAAGTATCGTACATACACTTTGGGATTCTCTTCAGCCTATATCTTCCCCAGGTGAACCTTACTTCTAAGGATCCTTGTGAACCTAGTTTTTTTTTTTTGACGTGGTATAGAAGACCAAATTGACTATAAAATAGTTTTTTTTTCTTTTTAAAGAGTTTTAAACTAACATTTGTATCAACACTTTTGAACTCCACTGTAGTAGACTAGTGTAGATCCAAATGTTGACCAGTTATGGGAGTTCCTGCAGTCTGAAACTAAAGCTTAGGGTGAAGGTTAATCGGTGTGTTTAATCATACCTGTGGATTTGGAAGTTGCATTGAGGAAACTTAGAATCAGATTCTTTATCCAATTGGTGTCTCTGGAGATGGGCAATGATATATAATACCTCTGAAACGTGCCTAGACATCTAGTACACTGGGATTTTAAGACTGGGCTTGTTTCCACCTCCTGCTCTCCTCCAGAATTACTGAGAGAAGTAAACTCTCCACAAAGTTTTGGAGCTACTTCTGCCCAGACCTGACACCATTGGTTTATTTGGAACCAGGATGGTTTGGGGAATGTAGCCAGTAAATGTTATGTCTCTTTGATTTATTTGGCATGCAGGGTATTTTTATTCTTTCTACCATTTATTGTGCTATAGTTAGTGTCCCTTTTGGATTTGTTTTAAACTAGTAACTGAATTAAAACACTGTGTGTGTGTGTGGTGTGTGTGGAGAATGAGAGGGATGAAAAGGTATCTGGGAAGAGAGATGAGGAAGGGCATTGATGTTCTAGGTAAAACTTAACTAATCAGGGTGAACTTAAGGTTTCTAAACTCAGCAGACTGAGTTTGTTAAAAGTTCCTACCTTTAAAGGAGGTTATAAAAATTGCTGATACATTATTGAAAACCGTACTTTAGGAGAAATAATTTATTTCCTTCCTCCTTTTCTCTTCTTTCCTCCCTTTCTCTTCTCTTAAAACTGTTAGTACTAAGATATATATTTTAAAATACTATAGACCACTAACCAAACAAGTTATGACATGTATCTTATATTTTTAATTAGCTAAGCTTACTGTCTGTACTGTTCTATAACATACATAAAAAAATACTTGAAAGTATAACCTAGATTTCTGCAGGGAGCACAGTCCTCTGTCAATTTTAAGCAATAACTTTAAGCAATAACTATCCTCACAGAACCATATGTTTATACATTGTTGAATATATTCTTACTACAATAAGAAAATTTCATAAGACAGATTTCTCACTTGTTAAATATTTTGTATGTTATTGTGAAAGTAGAGAGTGGTTTCTCTGATTGGTAATGTGAACCATGGTGGGAAGTGGGAACGGGTGTGACGTCTCACTAAGTACATTTTTCTTTTCTTTTTTTTTTGCCGTTCCCTGATCAAGGATTGGACCCATGCCCCTGCAAATAGAAGCATTCTTAACTCCTGGACCATTCTTGACTGTTCTTAGATAAGCCAAAGCTACTGTATCTCAAACCCCTATATTCACTGCTGGTTTGTTTTATGACATTACTTAACTACATCTTCCACTCACTTGCTTCACATTTTTATAGATTTCCATTTTATCAACAACATGTCATTTCTTCTTCAGAGATATTTTTCTCCTAACAATTGCTTTTCGTTCAGAATTCTTTTTTTCTACTGTAGTAATTTGATTTGCTCCCAGCTAAGCCTTTTTGATATCTTTGACCTATTTTAAATTCTGAAAATCAGGGCTGATCCAAGATAAGTTGTATCAGCATTCTCTGATGTGATGCAAGATCATGATGTATAGTAAGGGGCTATTTCAGAAAGACTTATGAATTGATCTGATTTCATGTTAGATTGATGCAAGAAATAAAAATTAATGATAGCTGTGTTCTCCCCCATGCTTTTTGCAGAAAGCTGCTTTTTTAATGATAAAATACGTTTCAACAGAATTTTTTAGTACATTGCAGTACATTTTTTGAGCAATTTTTTTCTCTATTGTCATTAAACATGTGGGGAAAAAAATCAGTGCTTTTAATACTTTGAGACTGATGCTTATTTAGTTTCTCTGTTTTTAAAATATTGTGCTATTCTGTGCTTCTTTTAAATTGGTATAGAAGTCTATCTAATTAATATACATGACATTTTATTTCCTTTGACTTCTTTTGCAACTGTTCTTAGTGATGTAATAGAGTATGTATGCTATCTAGTGAAACTTGAAACATGATCATTTTCATAATTCTCTGTTTAGATATTGTTCTTTTAAAAGGAAGTTGAAGAATGTTGTGTAATTGGAATCCTAAGACATGATATTGCCATGTATCATATGGGCATTCTTGAAATTGAGATTGTTGTTTCCTGGGCTTACACCCTTTCCTATTGGTTGACTGTATACTTCATAAAAGTGTCATTTCTGTTTTTCTTCTTTCCCCTCCTTCTAGGAAGGAAACTTATATAACTCTTAAGTTTATTGTTTACTCAGTTAA